TAGTTAGCCCTCAAAATCACGATTTTGACCTCACTGCCGAAAATCGATTTTTTTTTTCTTTTCTTGGATTTTGTTTTCTCACTATTTCGGTTGTGGAAAATCGCAATAGCGCAACATCTGAAATTTCCGATTACTTTTTTTTTCTGAAAATTCAAAATTTCGTTGTTGAAAATCCAGAATATCTTCTTTTTCGAAAATTTCGATTTCCTTTTGCAATTTCCCGTTATTAAAGGTTATTTGGAAAATCCGGAATATTTTTATTCCGAAATCCGTTTTTTTGAAAACGGTACGGGAATCCCTCTTGCAGTTATCATTCTCCAACTGCGCGTACTCTCATCTGAGTAATTCCGAATTTTTTTTTGTACTTCATTTTCGGAATTCTTTTATCAGAAAATCATTTGCGGTCTGAAATTTTCTCATTGATGATTACGCACTTCAGGGGAATTGGGAGGCCTACTGAACTTGCAAACGAGTATTTTTTTTTCTTTTTCTCGAATTTTTTGCAAAGTTCAAACTTTTCTTTTTTGATTATTGGCTCCTTATCTGGGCGATATATCCCACCCCTCCCCACCTATGTTGTTGCTCCCTCTGGTCTTCTCTATCTGCCTCCGGGTACCCCTGCGGCGACATTGGTGAGTTGCCACGTCAGCAGGACACGTCAGCAGGACACGTCAGCAGGACTCGGCAGCAGTGCCACGTCAGCAACCAGTCACCGCAGCAGCAGGTCACGTCAGTGCATGGTGCGCACCCGCTCAAAGACAAGCGACATGGATCAGCAGCCAGGCGAGACTACTGAGGCCTATGAGGCCGGCATGCTGGACATGGTAGCAGAGTTCAAGCAACGGGCAGCTGCGGCAACATCCACACGTAAGAAGGAAGATGAGGAAGCAGAGGAACAGCGTCACCTCGCTGAACAGCGGCGACAGGCGGACGCTGAGGCAGCAAGGAAGGCCGCAGACGAACGCCGTTGACTACGTCGAGACAAACTCCTCGAATGCGAGGGGGATACCGAGGTGATCGCCGGCGAATGGGCAGTGGCTGCTGAAGAGGAGAGAGCCCCCTCTGCTGTGCGTGGCCTTGCAACCACAATCGAACATGTGAGCGACTTGGTCGCCACCTGTGCAGCACAGCAAGAGGACATCCTCTGCGTGGACACCCTGGTCTGGAAGCAGATTCGAATTATTGATGAACTGCTTGACCGGGTACTCCAGCTGGAACAGCAGCTTGCAACAGCCACCCCCGCCGGACCCTCCAACTTGACGGACCGCGTCAACGTCTTGGAAATCGACGTCGAGACTCTCAAGGACGGCGCTCTAACGACAAATCAGCGGATTGACCAGCAGATTTGCGCCGCCGCAGCCAGTCCGACCGTGACTAATTGTGAGAGCATCCCGAAGTTTGACGGCCTCCCGATCTTCTACGATGCAACGAAGACGGACCCGATCCCATGGTGGCGCCAGTTCGAGCTGAAGTTGGACATTCACCGCGTCATCAACCCGAACCGGCACACATACTTATACTCCCGCTCGGGAGGCGCGTGCCAGGCATGGCTGGACAACATGTTGTCCACGCACAACGTCGCAGTCTCCGAGCTGCATACGGATATCAGTTGGGCTGATCTCAAGGCAGCATGGCATAAGTGCTTCCAAGTAGAGCCGCCCGAGCTTCAGGCAGCCGAGAAACTTCAATGGTTCTATCAGAACGACCTGCCAAGCACGGACTGGATAACCGAGTACCAACGCTTGACGTCCACGCCCAATTTGCCGTCAACCTTCGTCGCCATCAACCACTTCTTCATCAGGAGGAGTTGTCGGGCGTTGCAGAACGCCTTGACGCAAGTTGCGGAGACACTCACCACAAGTGAGCAGCTTTTTGATAAAGCCTCGCAGATCATCGTGACAAACATCGAAGCCAAGAATTTGGGCCATTCGTCTGCTGCAGGCGAGGGCAGAGGACAGCATCGGCCGAAAGTGGCCGTGGTCGCAGCAACTACAACGACCGACCCTTCAAACGAGGCTGCCTCTTCTGAGGAAGAAGCGGCCGGACAATTCAATTGGTTCACCCTCGGATGGGATAGTGGTGAGCCGCCCCACACGGGGCATGTCTGGAAGAAGCGGCGGCACAATTCAATTGGTTGGTAGGAGTGATGGGCGGTGTGTACAAAGAGCAGGGACGTAATCAACGCAAGCTGATGACTCACGCTTACTACCTTCTTCGCCCGAATACAACGTACTGTCCTTAGAGGCTAGAGCTGTATTGGGGGTATCTAGGTTGCCAGAGTGGCCCGGGACCAGTTGCCCGGCTGGGCCATTTGGTAAAGAATTTTGATGTGACCCTGAGGCAAAAGTTGTGTCAGTTTATTTTTCTGCATAACATAGATTTTTTTCGTTTTTTTTTTATTTTTTATTTTTGCTCGGACCTTCCCTGGTCCTTGCACAGCCTGGCCGCCCGGGAAAATAGGGTGATCCTGGCGGCACGGCTGGTAGCCTAGCTAAATACAGTAATAAATTACTAATAATGACAGAATGTTGTATTTGGGTGAAGAAGGTCGGCATTTCCTCGTCCAAATTGCAACAATCTATCCCCGTCACGATGATCATTTACGGATTAACAAAAAAAACATAAAAGCACCTTCAACCTTGGGACTGAGCTCATCAAATTTGAAGTTCCAAAGTTCTGAGTTCAAAGATCAGAGGGACCAGCAATCTAGCTTTCCCGGGGCGCTCGGCCGGGTGTGCCCGGCCGGGCGCCCTGGTGCCTCGCCCGGGGTACCCCGGGCATGAAAAAAATCCACCGAATTTTTTTTTTAATTTTTTTTTTTGGTTTACGGGGGTTTGCTGCGCTTGCCGAGCACTGCCCAAATCCGGCCTCACTTTTTTTTTCCAGGCACATTG